TACGCACACTGCGCATGTGCGATAAAATTCTACATCCGGTCGATTTTTCATAGCAACGGACCGCGTTGTTTAAAGGACTATAACTACTGTGTAGATTTACTTTCAAACCATATAAAGTCCCCAGTCATTTTGATATATGTTCCTATTGCTTTTTTGCCACGTATAATTTATAAAATGTCACGAATTTAAGGCATCGATATCATCATTTTTGTTACAATAATTTACGGCAACGTAGAATGGCCTTTATCTATTTTAATACACTAAGAAGGTCAATTTTTTCTTAACTGATAAGAAATTTGATTTGACTTTGCCTATTTGTTAAGAAACAAAAGTAAAACGCACCTATAATTGTTGTTTTGCTTCTGCGTATGGAACAGAATTAATGCATTTATTCTATCTTGCTTGATGACATTGGAACTTGCATTATGCTTGATTCCATCTTGCTTGATGACATTGGAACTTACATTATGCTTGGTTCCATTTCGCTTTATGATATTTAAACTTTGCATTAAGCTGTATTCCATTTTTCATTATTTCATTCAAATTGAGTGATAACTATTAAACTTGCACAAGCCATTTATCGTATTGTTTTGGAATATTAAAATGTTAACGTCATATACCTTCTTCATGCTCTATACAAACTAGTTACGGTTTAGTTCTTTTTTGTATTACTTTTAATTAGAAGTCATTTAAAATCGACTATTTCTATTTCCTACTTTCTTTGTACACCTAAAATTACACGATAGATTGTGTTTAAGTGTGACTTATATGATTTATCGCTCGAATAGCGTGATTACTTTTAGCTTTCGCTTATTTCCATTATTCAGTGTAAATGCTAAATAAAGCTCGGTGTCTGATGCTTTGTGAATAATGTTTGATAATCTTACAATATATATAAACAATTTAAACAATGTCTAGCGAGTATGAACTGTTAAGGGGCGAGAACTCTGTTATCGAGATCAACGGAATTTTTATTTGTTTGGGTCGTCAGACCAAACAAATAATGGTAGGGAAATTTCAGAGCCTAATGCTGTTAATTGCAAATGCCTAAAGTAGTCCACTTTTTTGAAGCGGTTACTTCCCTTTATATTTACCTTAATGCCGAAAAAATCAGGGGAGATCAATGCGTAAAATTGTCAAATGACAGGCGCATTAATTTTCAAGCAAAGTAGTGGTCGAAGATTTCTAATATTGTTTCATTCTTTATAGATATACATGCTTACAGTAAGCTCCATGATTATTTACATATGTGTTAAACAACAGGTTTAGCGTCGAAATAATAAGAGTTACAAACCCTAATTTAGAATAATATGGTTTTCTTCAGGTTTTCTTATCTGGCCCGGGTTACAAACAAACTTTTCACGTTATCGCTTAACGGCCACAAAAGAGAAATCATCCCGTTATATCGTAGCTCGGGATTGATGAAAAAAAAAAACTCCACAAAATAGTTCAGGTGTGTTTCTATGTACATTGCAAATGTTAACAAGCGTTTGCATTCTGATCACATCGTTATTAACTAATATCGATTATTGTTAACATTGATGTGTTTTGTTTAATATCATGGTATCTAAGACAGAGAGTTTTGTGTCATTTACAGTCCGACCCCGGTTGTTCGACATCCCTTTATTCGATTCGAATTTCCGGCATTATCCGAAGTAGATCTGCGGTCCTATTTTAATATCTATATAAATCAACATAGATACGAACGTTTAATTTGAAATGCTTTATCCGATTACCTCCTTTTTTCAAAGTAAAAATTCGGTCCCAATTATACAATTATGAAAGAATTTCACCTTGTAGTCATGCGTGTATTAAGACACTCGTGATAATTACGCTTTTTGTGTTCTACAATTAACTTTGACTACCGACTATTAAAGTCATAAATTGTGAATAAAATAAAATGCGATAATTTTCACGAATACGGTATATGTTAATTTGTCAAAATATCCAAAATATTTTCATTTATCCCTAATCGAAAATAAAGAACCGCAATAATAACAAGGTCATTATCAAGGCTTTGCATGAAACGAAACGAAACATGAGAGTTTTTACCCATCGAAAATACCAGAGTTTAGCTGAATTAAAGCATTTGAAAGACGAGACAATTTGGTAGATTAGCATATCAATATGATATTATTAATGTAGTAATTTATTTTTGGCATTCTCAATCAACTTGTTTAACTATGTCATAAATATTTGAATATAACTGATTTAAGTTAGTGTGATATGATTCTTGATGCATGCATTGTAATAATTATACATGTATATGTATGTTATGAAGTCAGAAATAAAGTATATGTTCTGTTCTGTTCTGATCTGATCTGATCTGTAGATACCAGAGTGGCAACTCGGCCATTAACAAGGTGTGAACGAAACGAAACGATACATAATGTAGAAAAAAAAAACTGCAAGTATTTATGTCTTCAATACAAATAAAAATATTTTTACGCATCTTTTTATCTGGACTAATTGCTTTTTGTAATCAGTAGTTTTGTTATGATTGACCAAAGTGGAGTTCGATTATTCGTACCCATCGATTATTCAAAGCAAATTTTCAGTCCCCAGTAATTCGAATAATCGAGTTTGGACTGTATTTTGATTTTGATTTAAGTCTCTTTATGGAAAGAATTTAATGTAATTTCAAACAGATAGATTTAAGCAATAATAATAATAATAATAATAATAATAATAATAATAATAATAATAATAATAATAATAATAATAATAATAATAACAATAATAAAAAATAATAATAATAATTCAGGATGCATGTTTATTTAATTACTACTTACATCTCATTTAAAATGGTTGATTCAAAACGTTATGAAAGTTAATATATCGGCAGAATGACGATGTTAGCACATATCTGTATCAATTTTTATTTTTTTCTTCTTTATGTTAACCATATAAATTCATCATTACAAACAATTAAAATATCTCAATTTCAAAACCTCGTACCTCCAGACTTGAAGAAACAGACAGCTTGAGATTTTTTTTAGCTTTTTTGGCCATGTTTTAATTCAATACGAAGTAGAAAAAAAGACAGAAAAAAAAACAAAAACAATTACAACAATCGTTACTTATTTACTCTTGCCATTTCAATAACGATTTGCCAGTTTTTCATTTGCTATTAAAAGAATTTTCAATTTTATAAAAAAGAATCTGAAGTGTTAATGAAATTTTGTTTTATATCCTTTTCTGTTTTAAATATCGAACTGATTTTTATATCGCAACCGATTTTTTATTTAAAAAGAACAAAATAAATTAGTTACAGTTCAAGTTTTGGCGTAAAAAGAAAAAAAGAGAACCGATCATTAAAGCAAGTATAATGTTACCTAAATATCAGGTGCTATTTTTGTTTTATTGATAATTGTAATTACAAGGTGAAATAATGAAAATATATAGAGGATATTTGTTTGTTTGTGTGTAAGATGAAATTTTATTTCATCGAGTGGGCTTTAAAAACAGTATTCTCACGAGTGGCGTAGCCACGAGTGAGAATACTGTTTTTAAAGTTCACGAGATGAAATAAAATTAAATCTTACACAACAAACAAACAAATTTTCTTTTTATTTTATGCTAAAAAACAAGTTTAAACGAAATTTTCATGACATTAACGTAAATATTAAAATCTGTTTTCCCCATTGAGAGCCCCATTTAGTCGGAATTTCTCATTAAAAACAAGAAGTCTTGAGCTGTAAAATAAGTCCGACATTCAACGTTAAATGACAGTGATATTATTTATTTTGTTAAAAAAATATGAATGATCGCTTGTTTTAATAATAAAAACAAACAATTCTTGTAGGAGAAAAATTCCAACCATCCATCCATATTTCTGTTACTTACTGCGTATTTATATTAGACCTGGCTTTGTTAAATGTAAGCGGCAGCCATTTTTTAAAGTTGTGTATTTCACGGGAGGAAAATAATTGTGTTTGATTCAGAGGGATATCATTTGGATTTGTTAGTCATACACCTTTTTAAAAGAAAGAAAACATATTTGAGGATTGAAACAGACAAAAAATAAGTGTTGACAGATGTGAAAACATTCAGAAAAGGAGCTTGGAAAATGGAAAACTTGGAAGCTTGCTCGGAACGCTGGGTGGTTTAATTGTTCTACGAGGTGATAGCTGTCATTGCTTTTCAATTTTTCATAAAGCGTACGGCAGTTATTGCTCGTAGGATACTTTAATGTGCCCAAATGTCATCAAGAGCAGTTTGCATGTGGAAGGAATGTTTTTGTCAGACTGTAAAAATGAACAAAAATATTGAGATGAAATTTGGTGATTGGAATTTGAATGAATAGAAGTAAGTTTTCTTCTTTTTATTACTTTTGACATTTAAGTTGATTATCAATTTCAGCTTTGCGTTTTCTTTAAACAGCCTGATATTGTCAGAATTGTCAGTAAAAATAAAATTGAGGTACCACATGGGGAAAATCTTAAAAAAGTAGTTTCTCCATTGAAAAAAGTGAAATTATATTTTGATAATTTTCACTGTGAAATTATCAAATATAATTTTCACAGATAAATCAGTAATCCACTGAAAAGCATAAAATAAATTGTCGTAATTTAATGAAGATTATGTAAAATTTGTGATAATAATAATAATAATAATAATAATAATGATAATAATAATAATAATAATAATAATAAAAATAAAAATAATAATTATAATAATAATTTTTATGCTTGATGGGTCTTTAAATATTGTTTCGTGTATAAATCTTTTTAAACATTTTTACATCAAGTTTAGCAGTCGCAAACTGTTTTCAGTTGTACTGAAATATTTAATTTATAGCTTAACGACTATGCATTAATTACAAACAAACATTTATTAATTGTTAGTTATTAGATATTTCTAATAACATGAACTCAATTGTTGTTATCTAAATTAATATTTATTTCCGTTCAATGTGCTTTATTGTCTAAGTCTCAACTTAAAATCCTTTTTGCTTTATTTAATTTTTCCCTGTGTTCACAAGAAAGATATTAACTTACCCCCACAATTGAAGAGACAAGCTACCAGCACTACTGCAGTGATATAAGATCGCAACATCTTTCCCTTCCTTTCCTGTCCAACGAGGTTAATTATTGCAGTATTGTTAAACAATTTGGCCAATATCTGGTTCCTTCGTCATTTTATACAACCCTTCTTGTATTTCCATAGCTTGGTTTCCAAAATACATAGAAACGACACTCAGTTCCAATAACTGAGACCCTTTTCTCTTTAACAAAGTAAAACGTGACAGTACATGATAATAATTTGAGCCGTGTCACGACAAAACCAACATAGTGGGTTTGCGACCAGCATTGATCCAGACCAGACTGCGCATCCGCATACATGCTGTTCGCTATCAGTTTCCCTTCTTGTTATAGAGTTGGCAAGCGAACATCATGGATCCTGATCAGACTGCGCGGATGCGCAGGCTGGTCTGGATCCATGATGGTCGCAAACCCATTATGTTGGTTTTTGTCGTGACACGGCTCATTTGTATGTCTGATTAACAATACGATTGGTTGAAAGCCAGTTATATCTTTTAGATTTGGAATTTGAATTTTTTGAAATTTGGAATTTCATTTCCAATCGAATAAGTGAGCTCTCTGTTTTTGCACAATATAATACTGTATCAGCTTTCACAACGTATGGTTAGAAGGAAGTAAAGTGTGTTAAACAATGTTTACATACAAGTATCAATTCAACTTTTTTATATTCTAATAACTCTTTTATTATATTAGATAAATATACAATGACTATTATGTTTGTTCTATTGTTTACATTTTGTTTTTTATGACCCATTGTACCAAAATTGTTGATATATTGTCATTTTACATAGTAAAAACTAAAAAAAATCTTTTGTATTTCTGAACTATAATGTGACTTTTAGTTACATGGGGCGAAGTAGTTTGCGATTTTAATAATTTTTAAAGTACCGTTTTAAATTTTGGCCCATCAGAATAACAGACACCTTTTTCCCAAATTGTGTGAAATTTTGTAAAGAGGCAAAATTAAATTTGGAAAAAATTTCCCGGAAATTGAAAGTGTTTTTGAAAATTTTAGGCTCCGGGGCAGGTGGAAGGTTTTGGTTTGGGGGGACCCCTTTTGGGTGTTTTTTAAGTTTTTAAACCAAACCCTTTTTCCTTTTGTTTCGCGAGAACCCCAAAAAGCCTTTTAAGAATTTTTTTTGTTGTGTCCCCCTTTAAAAACCCCAAACCAACCAAAAAAACAATCACAAAGGGTTTCCCCGTTTTAATAAAAAAATTGCCCCCCTTTACTTTTTAATTAAATTTTAAAAAATTTTAAAATTTTCCCACAAATTGTTTTTACAAACCAGGGGCCCCGGTTTAAAAAGTTTTTTTCCCTTTTAATTTTTTCCCCCCATTTTAAAAAATTAATTTGCTTAATTTTTTTTAAAATTCATTTTAAAATTTTTTATTTTTTAAGTTTGTCTTTTAATTTTCCCCGGATGTTTTAAAAAACCCACAAATTTGAGAAAAATGAATTTTTAAACAAAATAAAATTGTTTTTTAAATTTTCTAAAAAAAAAATTTCAAATCAAAGAAGTCTTTCCTTTTCTCAAAAAATCCCAATTTCACTTTTAAAAAAATCTTTTTAAAAAAGTTGGTTTAAAAAAGAAAAAATTGTTGCCGGGTTTTTCTTTTGAAAAAAAAAACCAAAACATTAAATGGGTTGCGCCCAAAATGTAGGGAAAACCCAAAGCCAGCCTTTTTGTGGCAATTCCCCCCGGGCCAAGTCGGGACCAAAAAAACCCCCAATGAAAAGCGTTAATCGTGGGTAAAGCGAACACCCCAATTTTGGTTTCCTGTACAACCTGGGGCGGGGGCGCATTGCTGGACAAGTTGGGCCGGCAAATTTTTTAAATGTTGGTGCTTTTCGTGTTTGGGGTCCAAAAGGGGTTTGAAACGCGTCGAGTTTTTTAAATTATCTAAACCCCGGGTAAAACTTTCCCCCCCAAATTTTCCAAGGGTTTTACTCGGTCTAAAATAAAACCTTGGGCTTTTGCCCCCCCCGGAAGGTTTTTAAAAATTTTTAAGTCCTTACCATTTTGAAAAAAACAAAAATAGTGTCGGGTTTACAGAAAAGTTTTAAACCTTTGAAAAATTAAAGGGGAAATTAAAAACATAAAATAAAATCCCTGCAATTTGGGAAAAAAATTCGTAGTTATTCCAGTTTTGTTTTCCTAGAGTTAGAAAAGATTAAGACTTATAAGTATTGTTTTTTTATTTTTTGTTGTAACAATAAACTATGTTTTTTTTCAAATTCGATATACTTGTTATTTTTCATTTACCAATAGCCGTAGAAGTTCAGAACGTTTTTGCCAGCTAAATTTGAAATGGGTCTGGACATTTCATTTCTGAAAGACAAGGCGCGACTTTTTCTTGAAATTGTAAAGTTTAAGCACAGTATAAGTAGCGCGCACTATTGACACAATTTATGGAAAAAAGAACTAACCGTATCTGAGAAGTTTGTAGTGAATAATGAGCCAAAGAAAAAAAGGATAACTATTTTTATAGTGAAATAAATGTTCTGCTGGAATGATCAGGGAATGCCAAATTCAGTCTTCACCTTGTGCCTTCTTACACTGTAACTTTATACATTCATTTTGTTATAGGCACACCTATTTATTACTAAGTTTTACTTCATATCTTATAAAACAATTTGGCAACAACGAAATAGAGGTTTACCGTTTTTATACCAACTAACGTCTGGAAAAATGTTTTTTTATTATTCTTTTTTTTATCTGCATGCTTGAATGGAAATGAAATATTAGCTTCTTGCACTAGTATAACAATGCACGTTTTTTCCAAATGCTTTGTATTAATCACTCATATCTGTTGGCCTTCCTGATTATATTACTGTGCATTTGAACAAACACCGAAAATTTTAAAAACAATGCACTCAAATTTGATATCCTATTTTCTCTTTCGTCTCTCTTTTTTGAGCTATTAAAATGAGCCGCGCCATGACAAAAACCAACATAATGGGTTTGCGACCAGCATGGATCCAGACCAGCCTGCGCATCCAAGCAGTCTGATCAGGATCCATGCTGTTCGCTTACAAACCCTATAACAAGAAGAGAAACTGATAGCGAACAGCATGGATCCTGATCAGACTGCGCGGATGTGGCTCAAATAGTTTCAATGTTTACTTATTTTCGTCTAACTGTTATATTATAACATGATATTGGGAACGTTATGATTGCTTAATGTATAAGAAATTGCATTTAACAGTTGTCTGAACAAATGATAAAATTATGTTTAGCCTACAGAACGGATCCTCATTTTGTTTTGCTCGTATTCGTAAATATGACCGTCGGCGGAGAATGTTTGTTAATTGTTTCATCTGTCAACCGTTGTCCAAAAATCAATATTTAGACCATACCTATCTCTAGAACATACATATTTTAATGGATAAATATTTTTTGTAACATTAACATTTTAAATGTTATTTATTGAATATACATAATTCTGATTGAACAAATATTTTCAATAATTTGATAATTTCATTATTTTCTTTTGCATTTTTTAACATATTTTTCTACACCTTTGCAACGCTCAACACACGCTATACGTTTGTACTTCAGTATTATGATTAAACAGACATTTTCATGCTGGGCAAAATACGATTTTTTTGTTGAAATGTTCTTTAACCCTACAGTGTGACTAATATTTCAAAGTAATTATCAGCATAAAGACTTTTATAATTTAAAGGAGTAAAAGTGTCTTGTTTGCGTGTTAAGTGTCATTTGGTCAGTATCAAACATTACTGCTTTGTTAATTTTTTTTTTAAAAAGAGAAACTAATTATATAATTGAGTTTGATGAAGACATAGATTTATTGCCGAATGACACGAATTTTGCGAATCATTAATAAAAGTACACGATCTGAAAAAAAAAACAAAAAACAAAAACAAAAAAACATTGACAGGTTCAAGCTTAACACTACAGAACCCATTTAAAATTTCTTGCTTTGTTGAACAAAATATTAATTAGCATTTTCGTAAAATGGAAAGATATCCGTTTACAAATAATGGACTACAGAATTGACTGATTTCATGTACTGGGGGTACGAGACGCACTAGTGAAAGGACTGTTGCACTGCGTTATCAATAAAAAAATCTGAATTTTCTATACGAGTTATTGTATATTTTTGCAACATTTTCAGTTTGAATATCCTTGATTTTTAGATGTTCTTTCAGGGATGAATTTTTTTTGTGGTGTGATAAGAGATATTTCCCAATGATGAAACATTATTTTTACAAGCTAAAAATGTCTTTAATCCTGTAACACTTTTCTATTTAACAACTTGAAAGAGGATACTGTGTCTACACACCCTAAATAAAATCGTAAACATGTACATGTTAACAGCTTTGGTGATATTCTTTTCAAAAAACAATTATTCATATTAAAAAGGTACTTTAGCGTTTTTTCTCTACTTTGGAAATGGTGACGGTACCAGACTGGTTAGGAAAATGCGTTATTTTGACTTAAATTGGGAATTTTAATTAGGCATTTTTCACCTACAAATAAGATTAGTCATCATGAATAAAGACAGCTAACAGCTTCCACTGTCCAGGTAGAACTATTAAGTTGTGATTCATATGAATATGTTGGATTTAAATGATTTTAGAGAAATCTTTTGGCCTTGTGGGAATTTCGAACAACCATTTTGAGAATTTTAACACTGGGAATTGGGAATTTTAATGTCTATCTTCTGTTGGGAACATTGCCTTTTTAGGGTAGTAGTTATGTATATAAAAACACTGGTACCAAACATGAATCTTAGATGATAAATAAACCTGGATTTTTAAAATGTAAATATTTAGAGTATTGCAGTTTATATAATCATAGATAAGCACATATCATGTTATTTTATATTGTAAAGCTCATCTGAATGTTGTGAACTGTAACTTACCATCTGATAAGACCTTAGTAAAATAAAAATTTCATTTGTATGTGTTGTTACACGAGTAACATGTACTTTTACAGGAAATACACTTCTGTTACAGCAGTGACAAAAAATAAGCATGAATGGTACTTCGTTATTAAACCAAACTTTTATTGATTTCCGTTTTATTTTATCTTAAGGTAAAATGTCATCTCATCTGAAAGCTTTTATGTAGTGTTTTATTATCATCTGACAAGATCGTGGTTAAATAATAATGTCATTTACATCTTGTTACATGAGTGACGTTTTAGTTACAGGAATGACATTTCTGTTACAGCAGTAACAAAAATATGCA